GTTAGCCATAGCTAAAAAAAAAAAATCCACATTATAACATCCTACAGCTACAGGAAGCATTAGCACATCATTAATTCCCCACAGAAAATACTGATGATATTCCAAGAATACATATGCAACATAATTTAACCAATCCTCATCTACATTTATCAATGAAAATAGGGAGCTACTGGATGTTGATGAATGTGAAAACTCTACATAAGGCTACCTGCATACAGGACACTCAGCCCTCCTGTAAGAGCAGGAATTTATCACTTAGCTGCCCTGACAACCTGAAGGCTCTTGTGTCTATCAGGAAATCCCCACCACTCACTGCTGATACCAAGGCTACAGTTTCACATAAACTGCTCAGTGCCCTACCTTCTTAAAATGTTACCCTCTTTTCACCCACACCTTAGTGCTACAGCTGGCCTTGGGAAAACTTCCTAATCTGCCACGTGTGTATCAGACAGAACTGCTCCAAACCAGAACTTCCTTCAGCTCAGAACAGTGCCCTGGCTCCAGTTCAATGTGCAGCCCCAAAGACTTTTGTACTGGCAGAATGCAGGTGAAGGAGGGCCATGCAGCAGCACCTCCCTAAGGGAAAGGTGCCAGTGCACTGTTCATACTAGAGCAGCTTGAGCACACAATGCAGGGGCAGAAATAGCTTAAGCTGGTATCGCCATCAAACATGTTGGATCATGAAAACACAACCAAAGGGTGTAGTTTCGCAGGACGTGAGCTTGGACAGCAAAGCAGTTTAAAGTTCCCACCCCACCTGCTCATTTCAGTGATCCTTCTTACAGCACAGCTTCACAAAGGGTTTTACTGACACAACAAAAAGATGGCAAAGTCTGGCATAGAGGCAGGGGAGAAGCTGGCTTACTGCTGAAGCCAAATCTTGTGAAACGACACCCTAAGTATTTGTTGTGGAAAGAACAGTCTGTCTAGTAACACTTGCCAAAGGCTTGCCAAACACCTGCTCCAAACCGTCAGAACTCAGACCCAGCAAATACTCCAAACTTTGTTAGAAGTTTTATTGGAGTGATGCAGTCACCAAATCATTTGAAATCAGAAGACCAACTGCAAGACTCAAAAAAAAAAATCTTTCACCCTACAATTTCAGATTTTTTTCTACAGTTTGAAGACCGAGAGGTGTATTAAAAATAAATTTAAAAAAATCATTTATCCAAAATGAAGGTGTGACATCTGGCAAGGGAGCCAAGAAAATTTTCTGCTAGCACTTTGCGAAGAAGAAGCTGCAGAACAAGTTTCTCTTAAAAAAAAGGGTTGCAACCGGTTTATCAGGTTAGAGGAATTCATGAGTTCTTCCACCTCTTCCCCCCCATCCCATTTGTTTCCAAATGCTCATTTAACCAGTTTGTTTCTTGCTGAATTTGCTGAAAATAAATTACACCTGCAGCTCCGTTGGATGATCAATAGGCATCCAAACATGCTTGAGGGAACTGGCAATTTGCTTTCACCTGATAAAGTAGCAACCACTCTGTATTTTCACTTTGAGCATTATTTAGGGGAGTGTGCAGTTTTATCTTTCTCTGTTTAAGAATACATATTTAAATATTCACTGATGTATTTGATTCAATATATTCAATCAGCAAGACTAGGAGATTCTTTTAAACCAATTTTGAATATTTAAATGTCAATTCATAGATTAAAATGGAATGCTTTCAGTAGGTCCAAAAGCAAAGCTAGGTCTCACATGAGAACGTCTTCCTTTTTATGTATATCGTTCAAAGAAAAATGGTAATTGCAGCTAAATACTGCAGACAGTTCTCCAAAATTATTAGCTCTTCTTAGACTTATCCTTTGTCAGGAAGACATGCAAATATTGCCTTGCAAAAGTAAAGTAACATGTCTTAAGGCAAGCCATGCTGATTCAGACAGGTTTTCTGTATGGGAGGGATTAAGAAATCAACAACACTTTCAACTTCATATGGGATCTTTAACTTAGAACCCCTGTGGCTACAATCAGAGAAGCACATGAGGATGTCAGCTTTTTGACGACAGAGTAATGAGGCCGAGAGAAAGGCAAAGTTCATTTTGGTTTTGCTTGTTAAAAGCAAGGTGCCATTCCTGCAAGGTTTCAGAGAGCAACCTGAGAATAATTGCTCTCCCTTAAAAGCTTGCAAAGTGGGAAACTATAAAGCTACAGCAGTTAACTAGAAAAAGATAAAAAACATGCTAAATAAGCCAGTCCTGTCATTTGAGGATCTGAACAATGATACCTGGTAAGAATGTCCCAGTCATGCAGGAAGAAAACTATTCCCCTTGGTAAGTAGTGTAACTGATGCATGTTCAGAGGCCTAGATCATGGGCTCAAGGCAGTTCCAAACACTTGAACAAGAGATCTCCCCCTTACTTTGTTAAATAAAAATTCTCACAGTTTTCTACTCAGTAGCATTCTGCAACATCTCAGCAGCTGCAAGTTCACCATTACTTGTCTCACATCAGAGGTATGTTACTAATGCCGTTTTGAACTGAATACATCAAGCAAGGTGCTCCCAAAGGACAAACATTTTACGATTTCAGGTAACTATTTCCCTGACATCCCTCCACCCCCACAAAGGAAAGCTATCACAACGTTGCACATCACCTATGAGAAAATAAAGATGGATCCCGTAACTGCAGTAGAACCTATGGAATGAAATGCTTTTTACCCTGGACAAGTACAATATCTAAAACCTTATAACAAAACATACAGAGCATATGCTGCAGCAACCAAGCTGTTATTTTGAGGCACTGTGCTTCAGAACCTTACCTTGTAAAATTACAACAACCAAAACTTATTGATAAGGAACCCTATTTCAGAATATTTCTTAAAACAAACTCAAGTTAATACTTGATTAAGCTCAGATTAGAGGCCTTTAGTAGACCTCATCATTGACATGCGCAGCAATAGAAGGAGACTTGCTGTGGTCAGGGGAATAACTCCAGACCCACAGAAGCTGATCTACTGTTTACCAGCTACAAATCACTGATTCAGAACCACAGAATGTTTGAAGTTGAAAGAGGCCTCTGAAGCATGGATAAAAATTACAATGGATTTGTGCTCAGTGATTCTCACTTCCCTCTGCATGTAGAGACTGGGAACCCAAGGCAAAAAAAAACAGAAGCAGGCACCAAAACTTTCATTTACATGACTGAGATGTGCTAAGGTGAGCAATTTTCAGCTGCATCATCAATTTTCTACCACAATCCAGGCAGGGTGTGGAAAACTAATTTCACATACTCTATAACGTTATCTCTAGTCAAGGTACAAGTCTACTTCCTTTTCCTCCTCCTTTTCAAATAACCACTTCAGCTACCTGTTTCTTTTGCTAATCAAAATACTTAACTGAGAAAGAAAAAAAAAACCCAAAAACCTGTATGTCACCTGACTCATCCTTAAAACACATGATGCAATTAAAATATCCTGTGGACTTGTCTTTAAAAATGCAGGTGAGGATCTACTATTAAAGAATATGGAATTTTGCTTTTTGCCACCATTGCAAGTGGGAAGTTGAATTGATTCTCTTCTAATTCCCACAGGAGTCAGGACACAGATGGGAAAAGAGTGGAGTTTAGGTAAGGTGTGTTCCAGAGGACTTATGATGGAACAGGCCACATCACAACTGGCACCCAAAAATTAACAGCAAAATCAGTATTTAGTTGCATAGATATGCAAACAAAAAGGAAAAATATTGTTATTTTTCAAGAGTCTCTACCCACCTACACACAAAGGTACTATTTCCTTTTATTTGCTAGAGCAGACCCACCTACAGTGCAATTTACAGCAATAAGATACAATCTCTCATAAAGTATTGAGTATAATTAAAGTGTGTCTGTTATAAAGGTAAACAGAGTGTACTAGGCTAAGCTGTTCCAGATGTCTTTAGTGCAAGATCTGGGACAAGATCAAACCTGCAGCTGCACATTTTCTCAGGGGTTATTATGGAGCCTTAAAAAAAAAAGAAAGAAAATCACCTCTTGGTCCTAGACTCCAGCAAAATAAATGCAAGTAGAACAAATGCCACTGCAGTCAATGCTGACAGATTTTCAGCCACATAGAAGTTATGTTTTTCAAAGACACTCCAGAGTGTAGTGTTAACCATGCAGTATCAAAGAGAGTTAGGACCAAGTCTGCCAAGTTATGTGTCACCAGAAGTTACAGCAATATGAACCTGTTCTACTGCCTAAGCAAGTTTCTTGCTGAAACACACCTACGAATGATTCAGACAAGGTGTGGAAAGCCAGGTTTATATGTTACACAAAAATGCACTATTGTATTTTTCCATTCAAGCACATTTCATGCATAGAAAGGACAGTCAAAGTAAGTAAACTTTTGGGAACTGCATTATGTATACACTATTCACACTAAATTTTTTGAAGTAGCTCAAGCCCTGTTGAGCAAATTTTACTGTTCAGTGTAATATTAAATGAGTCAAAGAGCAAAACTATAGAAATCATTAAAAAATTAAACCAAATCAATTTATAATCCTCTCATTAGGCTCATCTTGAAAAGAGTGATACACAACAAGCATATCTGATGTTACATGAAAGATTTTGAGGATTTCAGCTGATTTTAAGAATAACAGATGAGGAAAAGTTTTAAAATACACATTAGAGCAGCGAACCTCTAAATTAGAATGTACCATGTGAAGTTTGAAAGTTTGATTAGCACTCCTATATTAGGCAGTACTCTAACTGGCAAACTCTTTTAAAGCTTAAGAGAAACTTGGGATAAAAGCAGACTTATCAAAACAACCAGAAGTCAGATCTTCCAAGGACTTATAACATCAGCTCAAATACTCTGGTATCATACATAACAGTTTCAGAATGATGAAGTTCCTATTTCAAATGGTTCAGGTCTCTTTTGGGTTAGCTTAAAAACAAGCATGAAAACTTGCTAGTGATTTCAAACTGAAAGACAAAACTAAAGCCTGTTTCCTCTTTCTAATCTATTAAACCTCATTCACAGGCTTCACCCAGAAGAGCTCCTGTTCCCCAAAGCAACACCTCACCTGTTGAAGAACCCGGTCCAGTGGTTCAGCTTTGCCCAGTCCCTCTGGTGTTAAGCCACTGACTTCGCGACACTGGTCACTTAAGTCCAAGTTGTCTGCTTTCACCAGGGATTTGTGTAGTGTCCCTACCTAAAAAATTTAAGAAAATATGGACAAAAGTGAGGAACAATCGAATTAGCTCTTTATAGCAATGTGTTGAGACTGAAGAAAAATCAGAAAGGTGCAGTATCCCCTCCGGATAAATGCCAGGAAAAAATGCATTTGTCTATTTCACAAATCGAAACCTTTGGCCGCGGTTTCTCTCCCTCCCACCCCGGAGAGCCACGCTCTCTGCCTCGGAGTATCCGAGCCCATTTTCATGGGAGGCCTTTTGCAGTTAGCACCGACTTTTGTGGGAGTTGTTAAGTGGAAAGGGAAGATCACTTAATATTAAGGCAGTGTCACGAATCCACTTATGAAATTGATAGTCCTGTTTGTTTTATTAAAGCTCTTCATCTCTAGGGGGTTATTTATGATAAGGCTTTTGGGGAAGAAAAAAGATTGGAGATGACTTTTAGGTTGGCCTAAAAATTAAAATAAGTCAATATTCTCTTAAAGGTTATCCAAACATTGGTTAAACAAACAAAAAACAGGCCCAAAGGGTCCAACGGTGACCGAGAGCCGGCTCCCAGGGAAGCGAGCACACCCGGAGCCATCCGGGGCAGCTTTTGTTTTAAAATTTCAAAAGTCCGTAGACATCCTCGACCCTACGCACGATTTAAGGCGGACGGGGCAGTGGAGTGTGGAAGAGGCCAAACTTTCTTTAAAAGTGACTTCTTCCCTCAAGAGGGAACAAAAAGGAGCTTCCCGGGCGAGCGCCCCGGGCAGGGAATGAGCCCCGGGCACGGCCCCGCGCCTCCCCTCCCTCGGTGCATTTGTGAAATGAACAAACGGCTCCGGGCCGGCGCCGAGGGGCCGGGAGAGCCCGCTCGCCCCGCGCCGGGGAACGCGCCCTCGCCCCGGATATCGAAGCCATACCTTCTTGCTGTGTAGATCCACAACTTGCCACACCAAGAGAATTAGTTCCCTCTCATCCGAACCCAGTTTAGCCCCATATGCACCAGCTGTTGCCCCAAACAACACCACCAAAGAGTCACTGTGCGAAGCCGTCATGACCACAGGGGGAAACAGCTACAATCAAAAGCAGAGGTCAAAAAAAAAAAAAAAAAAAAAAGAGAGAAAAAAAAGCAAAAGAAAGACACACTAACAAACAAGAAAAAAAATAAAACCAAAAAAATCCCACAAGGCTCATCCCCTACCTCCAAGTAATCAAAGAGAAAAGGAGCGAACGAGGAGTCACAATATAAAGAGAAGAAAAAGAGCTATTTAGGAGGTTGGGTATTTGAGGAAAAAAAAATGGAGAAAGAAAGCTCCCATCTCTACCTGTTCCCGGTGATCTCTTTCCCGGGGCCGACTGGGAGGTGAAATTAGCAAGCTGTGGGTTTCTTTCCCTCTAACATCATGGCAGAAACTCAGTCTGGGCTTGGGCTTTTTTTTTTTTCTCTCTTTTTTTTTTTTTTTTTTTTTTTTTTTCCTTCCCTCTTCCCCTTCCCCTCTCCTGAGTTACCTGCCCTTGGTGCAGCTCATGTGTCTCTAGTCAATCTCCCAAAGGGACAAGGCCATTGGGCCTCTGGAAAAGGTGTAGGAGGGACGCAGGGAGAATCAACGCCTGGCTGATCTGGCCTGATTGGTTTTTGAAGGAGATCAGAGGCAAACTCCCTTTCTGTCTTTAATTCTGCCTGCAGGAAGTGCCTCTACCTGCTTTCAGTTCACGGGATCCCGCCCAGCGCTGCGTGCGGGGCACACGGCGCTCTGCGCGCCCCGGCCCGCGCCCCTTTCGGGGGATAAACAGAACAATATTCGAGTACAGGTGCTAAAAAAAAACACATTATGACTTAGCATTGAATTCCACGAAAAAAAGTCTTTACCTGCTTCTCGGTAATTGCCCTTTGTGCGCGTTGCTGCGTGTGTATCCAGCTACGGATGCCAACGTTAATGTGTAATGAAAGTGTAGTATTCCACAGGGATTTTTAAGGGATATTACAGGCAGAGAGTACTTTGTAATTTAGGCCCTATCTTTCATACAGTTTGTAAAGATGGGTCTTAGTAATACAAATTTTTTGTTTTGAGAAAGGATGTATGTAGGAAGTTTTGCAAGAGCACAGTATAAAGCCCTGCATTTCCTACAGCTGCTCAGTCAGGAGCTGACTCCTGGGCATTTACAGCAGTCCAAGGTGAACAGCTTTTCTCCTCGCCTGTTTCACCGCTGAGACTACAATGGGAAACCACCACCAAGTTTAGCTGCTATGAAAACACTCCTGCTCAACAGCAGCAATATTTGTAACATCGGGGAGAAATTTTTCAGAGATATTGTCAAACCCAAATTGATTTTAAAGCACAAAAAAAGATCAAAAAGCTTCTAAACTCATTTGAAAGTTATTTTTCCTATTGCCATCACTGATGGGTTACTAATGATTTTTAAAGGCCAAATGCTGCAAGTTAAACTAGTAATAATTTTTCTTTCATTTAATTAAGTCTTCAGTTTATACTTCAGTATTAGTATTGTGTTGAAATAAAGCTTTCACTGAATGAAAATTGGTGCTGCTATTTAGCTACTGATGTTCACCCTGGGAAAATGAAGAGGTGGGCATTTAACTGTGAATATCTGATGGCTTAAATTATTAAATCACATTTTCTCATCTTCTTTTAACATTCCAATTTTATAATTGATTAATTATAGCAGTTATTGTGGACTTCCTTCTGGAAAACACTGATTCCCCATCCTATCATCACCAGCAAGACAAATTCCATTTATTTCAGTGAAAATAAACTACAGTTCAAGGATGCTGTCTGATGTGAAGTATCTTAGAATTCACGACTTACGAGTTTACCTGACAGAGACCATGAAGGAAACTTTGCACAGGTGCATCTCACTGAACATCACAAAACACTTAAACACATCTCAGCTGTTGTCTCTGCAGTTCATGAAGCTGCCTAAGAAGCAATCCTGAAAATACATTGTTACAGAAAGGGCAAATTCCTGAACAGAGATGAAAACTTTAATCAGTAACATGTATATATTCATATATTCAAAATGTTTTCAGCATTACATTTTCTTGCACTGCTGAATTTATAGCCACAGCTATATTTTCCCCTGCCAATGCATTTCTAGAAATCCTTGGTAGAATAAAACCCCATTTCTTTTCCTTTTGTTATTTCCCTTGGATGTAGTAGTTATGAAATAATGTAACAGATCATTATTGAGAATGGGATGATTCTTATCCCTGAAGTCTTTAAAAACAACCATAAAAATGCATTGACTGCAAGTGTGAGAACTATTCCTTTTTTCCCAACCTGTTCCCCCCTCCCAAACTCACACATTTATATGGTGTTTGGAGAGAGGCAGTGTTTGTACAGATAAGTGTAAACACAGATTAAATGTAAATACAGATTATAACTGTAGCTATGTTCACAGAAAAAAAAATACCAGGCTGTTGCAATTTAACTTCCTTCATGAGGATGCCATTTTGTAGCCCTAATACATGAGTACTTCATACATAATGGGATTTTAATTAGCAGATTTCTATAGACAATCATACACATGAAAAATTGGCCAGGTTGACACATATGGTCACAGGCTCCAGTGAATTGGCTCAGAAAATGCCAGTACATATGTACTTGTCTTTAGGATCTAATGTGAAAGAAAAAATGATTGTAATTCATTTAGAGCAACTTGTCAGATTAAATAAATACTCCTCAAATCAATGCCAAAGACCCTTGAAAACTTATTTGAAACCTACACATGATATCAAAGACTGGTAAGCCCAAAAGCTTCTATGCCTTTTACAATTGTATTAGCTCATCTCATAAAATGAAGCCTCTCTTCATAGAAAGCCCATCTGGTTTCTACTTTTAGACTATCTTGACTCATATAATTCTACTGTTACTAATTTATCTGAACTATTCTAGATAAATGAATTTAAAATGTATTCTAAAATGTTTTAAAAAACCTTAAATAAATGCTGGCTTTCCTGCAATATCACACATTTCAAAGTATCAGATTATGTAACTGGCTTTTCATTCATCTTCTATCCACTACCCTCCCATTCTCTGCCCTGAATTATACTAGCAATTTATTAATCTAAAAATATGAATGAATGGCATTGTATGTCTCAACAGAACAGCAAGAGGATCCAGTTCCTGAAAAACATATGGGACAAGCCCTTGTACACTGAGCATAGAAAGGTTAATTTGTAACCAAGATCTTGCTGAAATAAAGAGTATTTGCTCACCTTTAGCTTTAATCCTGGCAGGCTTATTTATAGAGGTATTTATTTGTAGGCTACATATGACCATAATGTCCCATAAAGGTAACTGGGTGGAGAAGAAAAGTTTTAAAGATGGACATTCATTGTTATGCAAGCTCAATATGGTGATTATTTTGTTTCTTATTAATCAAGCAGTTGAAACTGTAAAATAGATCAGTTTTACAGTTAGATCACATGAGAACACCGAAGAGACTCATTAAAAGCAGTGTGCTTGCAATGGATAAATCTGTAGTGGCATTTTCATACTTACTGGGATGGAAAGGGAAGGCAAAAAGAAATAAAGAAAGAAAATAAACCATCTCTTATATTACATTATTAAAAATTCCTGTGAACTGAATGTCCTAATGACTGAAGTCCTTTTGTTAAAGCCTAATAAAAGGAGTATACAACTTTGAGACATGAGATCTGGAGTAATACCCTGCCTACATTTAGATCTACAAAAATAACTCAATAATCTTTCAGGTAACATGGAAGTCAATCCTCTGTTCCAAACTAGTATGATATTGAGAAGTTATTTGTCCCCATGGATATTTTACTCATCAGTTAAAAGGAGGAAAATTATGGTGATGATGATGAGATGATGTGACATTTAACCCTGTAAAATGGTTTGAAATATCCTGAAAAAAAGTTAATAAACTTTGAAGTTGGGTCTAATTTCAAAATTGGCCATAGTAGCAGAGCAAGGATGTACACCAAAAGATGTCCAGAGGTCTCGTCTAGCTAACATTTTCTGTGTTTTTAAGTAACAGAGATATTGAATAAGTATGGTGCCTTGGTGTTTCTCTGCACAATAGGGATAGTAAATTCTCTGCATGCCTCAGCATCTCCAAACTGAGCTGGCACTGGAAGTAAAAGATCTGTAAGTGATCTGTAAGCAAATGTGAGAAGATATTTAGATTTCATACCCATTCAGTCCTTGGCTCCTGGATTGGATTATAAATTACTGCAGCAATATTTGCAGAAGGAGGAGCTTACTGTAACTACTGAAACATAAATCCATATGTAAAGAATTTTCTGGCATCCTTTCTTTAACAGCAAATGAGTGGGAAAAGGCATGGGAACAAGCGTTTAGCAGTATTCTTTGATTGCTGTCCAGATGTTTGGAGAGATCTCATTTTTTGGTCCGCCAGGTAGGACTGCCATGATTACAATGCACTGTAGAAGCCTTGAAATAATTTCCATTGAGACATCCACAAAAGCTCAGCAATCTGCACAAGAGCTTCAGAGCTGTGGTTCTGAAGGATTGTTACCCTGCAGATACCAGCACCATCAAGGCACTGGAAGCATTCACTTAGAATCCTGTATCAGTTGAAATTTATTTCTATTGACTTAAAGGTAAGTTAAAATATAAAATTCATGACTAGACAAGATTAATAAAAATGAAATTACTTCCCCTATTGTTTAACATAGCTTCTCTTCTTTGTAGTATGTCAAACAATCCTGTGGCTTAATCCTACAAAGGTTTTATATGTGCTCAGCTCCCACTGGAGTATTGGTGTGAGATGTACAGAGTTCTCCAGATTGCACTTACCAGACTTTTGAAAATCTAAGCATTTACTTTGATACCAGATTTGTGGACAGATCAAACATACTAGTGTCTTTCGTAAATATTATTATAGATTTATATCAAAGTTAACAGTTTTTAACAAACTAAATTTCCATTTTTAAAAAATCGGAAATAATGCCGTCAGTCAAATAATTCACTAAAAAGGTTTCTGGATTTAGAATCACTGAGATGATTGCTGACAGGGATCTCTGCACATCCTCTTGTCCAACACAGGCTTCCTGCCAGCACTACATTGAACCAGCCAGTATTTTGTCCAGCTGTGTCTTGGAAACCGCCATGGATGACCTGTTCCAGTGCTGCACTGCATTGCTGATGAGAAACTTTCTCCTGGTTGCCAATCTGATCTCACTGCTAAATTTTTAAATAATTCACTGCAACTAGTTGAGACAGGTTCTTTAAGCTGTGGTAAATTAGACAAGCCATGTGATACAATTCCTGTTACCTAATGAGATGAATATGCAAGTACTTCCTGACCCTTTCAATCTACCTTGCCTGTGATTCAAAATTGACTTTGTGTGAAGCTTTATTGCCTTTAAAACAAGGCTAAATACATTTTCATTGTAATTGCTTACTTTTTTACTGGTCTCAGGTACAGTATAACATGAGAAAGGAAGTTCAAAGGAAAATATTATTTTTGTGGCAGGTTTTTAAGCAAGACTGATATTCAGTCTTAGATCAGAACACTTTTATATACTAACCCATCCACTCTTTGTTGATTGAAAGGATATAGCAGTTTACAAGTCTGTCAGTGTGGCAGAATATCCAACAGTAAAAAAATTTGCTTTTTAATGATAAAGTTAATCTAGTGAGTTATTTGTTACATAAGCTATAAAACAAAGACATTCCATTACCAACATTCTTGCTACCATCACTACTACCTCAGTGAAAGGAGTAGAAACATAAATTGATAACACTATCCACTACAATAGCTAAAAGCCAAAATGCTTTCTGTTATTCACTAGTATTTGCATGCAGTTCAATAGAATCATCTTCTTAATTTATAAACAATAAAATGTAAAATTACACATTTAAGGTTTAATAGGATAAAGTTATATCGTCTTGGGAAAAGATCAAGAGTTTAACTCCTCATAATAGTAAATGAGAATAGCCTGATGTCTACATAAAGCATTTAATTTGGGCCATTTTGTACTTTATATTTAACAGGCCAACACAGAGACTTCCAGTCTTAGTAGTCCTTTACCCTTATAGAAAACTTTTGTGACACTCCTTCAATGGTTCAATGATATTCATCCTGCCATATCCCCACACATAAATGCATTCACACTGTACAGCTGGAAAGTTCTCAGAAGTTCACTGATGTTTCAAAACCACTGATGTTTCAGAGTGAGAAGTGGCCACAGCCATCTGGAACATTGGATTCCAGTCATCCAATTCCTGTCATCTTTGCATGTAAACATAAAAAACAAATAGACCACATAAGAAATGTAAAGGCCGTTATCTACATGAAAAGATCTGCATGCTCCACACTGCTCTCACTTACTGAGAGCTGATAATCAGTGCTGCAATGCAGCAGTGATGAAAGAACTGATCATCAAATACCAAGGACTGTACACTGGAACTCCAAGTTCTTCAATGAAAAACAACTGTAAATTTTACATAGTTAATGATGAATTTATGCAGGTTACATCTTCTCAGGCTTTACTGATAACTGACTGATACTGGCCTCATGAGATATCTTGGCAGAAATTACTAATCTCTCTCTTTATTCAGATTGTACCACAAACTCTGAGCTGACACAAAAAACCTTGATAAAAAAAGGAAGGGGTGATCCTATAATATTTCATTTCCATTTGATTTAACTGGTCTGATATTTAACCTATTTCTTCATTAGAATTTAATTAAACTTATTCCACATACAGATATGCAAATACAATTCTTTTTCTCACCACTGTATAAACAGAAGTAAAATCTAAATGCAAAACATAAGCAAAACTTTACCACCCGTTCTACTTGGGCTTTAAAAACATCTCTTCAAAGCATTTTGTATAATAAATTAATGAATGCAATTATGTGCATCCAAAATAAACATTATAGGACCTATCATTCAATGATTTCATCTTGATCATGGTTATTTTTCTCCACTTCACTTCTACCAGCAATCATTACAAACCTAGGATCTGACAAGGGGACTTCAAGCACCCTGTGTCCAACACAAGGATGACATAAATTCTCAAAGAAGCAGCAGACTTCTGACTTTTTAAATTTTTTTTTTATTTGTTTTCACTGTCCTAAAAATACAAGGTCTTTAAAAAGTCTTGTCTGACTCATGATTACCAGCCTCTAGCAGAACTAATGGCAATTTCTAGGAAGATAAGTTTATTTTCTACTCTACCATTTGCAGCTTGATAAGACAAGTACTGATTTTGCAAAATAATCCAATTTTTTTCTACAGCACCTCTAAATGCAATTGCTTGTGTGGAAGACTCTAGTTCACATGGCACTGTATTATATAGTTACAGTCGTGTCAGTAGAGTCATCAGATCCTCACTCAAGTAAATTTCCTTATTCTATTCAACAAATGCTCTTTTCACTTTAACCTCTGAGCATGATTAAATAAATACCTTTCTTCCTTTGGCCTGACACTGGATCTTACACACTGTGGAAGTAATATTGGAATTGTGTCCTTACAGATACATCTGGCTGATACAGGAGAATGATGTGGTTTCCTGAGAAGAAATATTCTCAAAGAGACATATTGCACAGTTAGTAAATGTATTCAGACAGAGAGAAGACAGCTATTCCTAAAATATTCCTTCTGGCATAATCTAGAAATTTTAAATTTAAGTTGCCATATGATGCAATTCAGTGCATTTTATCACTTAACAGTTATAGAAGTGCTTTATAAGCACAGATAATAACTAAGCACATGCAAGCAGGTGCAATTCCCTTCCCAGCAAGTTGGAATTGTGATAATACACTCTGACAGAGCTGTTTCATAAGTGCCAGTACTACCTCACCTCCTTTCCCCAGCCTTCTGCTAATGTGGCACACCCTTGTTTGACAGGAAATGTCACCTTGTGTTCAGTCATTCCTTGTTTTCCTCAAGTAATTATTTCAAGTATGGTGTGACACAGTTAACACACATTAAGATTTTGCCTTTTCTACACTGAAATACATGGTGCTGAGGAAAAGGAAAAGAGCCCTGGGGCACATGAGAGGAAGTTACCTGGCACATTCTGGGGGTGGTTCCACAGTGACTTGGGTGAATGCACCGATAATGCTCTGGCTCTGGGTGAAGTAGATGTCTAGGACATAACCAACTTTTAACTACTCCTTTCCAGACTCTAGTGCTCTGCTTTGTGTGAGGAGGGAGGCTGAGGAGTCCGATCAGGAACTGACTCCCTAAACAGGAGTCATTCCCTCATTCGGTTCAGTTATTGTGGCAAAAACAAGAGAGTGACTCATGGTATTGGGCAAATGAGGGGACACTTCTGCCTCATAGCATCACGACTCCATGGCTTTAGGGCACATCAAGCTTTTCTAGGGCCAGGTACCGCTGAACACCTGCAGCCTCACTAAGGGCACTCAGGCCAGCTGTCATTGTCATACATGAGTCACAATGGGCAGCATTTTATACATACTTTATATAGACATAAGACGTGAGATCAGGTCTTCCTGCTGTTCTTGAAAGTTCTTGAAAACTCTGGATTACATTCTATCTATGAGAAGTCCCAGAGGACGTATAAAACATCAATTTTTTGATAAATTGAGGTGTAAATTTCTCCTTTTCTCACAATGCATGTTGCAAAACTGACTTTAAAAAACATTCTATATTTTGCACTGTTATCAAGATTTATCTATCCAAACCTTGTGAATCTGTTTGTTTTGAGGGAACAAGGTGGAGACCATCACCTTCAATCAAAGACTGGCTGCTTTAATCAAAGAGATGTGAACAGCTTGCATCTCAACTTTTGATTTCCACAAAGCCTGTTTGTTTTACTTAAGGCTAGCTGTCCCTGTTGCCAAGGAATTGCTAGGGAGCTAAGCCACACCTTTATGAATATACCTAGCACTTCCTGCTCTGTGCAGCCTTAAAAGCAGTCTCCTCTACTCCAGAGAGATAATTGGAGGTTAAAAAAACATAAACATCTACATCTTAAGATCTTGCCTGGCTGGCAAAGCCACCTGTCTTTGTGCTCTTGTTAAATAGTTCACACAAGGTCCTGGGGAAGTGCTTATTGTGAGATGTATTTTTTCAGAAGTATTCAATGTTTGGGATGGTGATAATATGTTTCTTACCCTTTCATCTGCTTGTATCCAGAGCTTCCAGTCGTGGCTTCTTTGTGACTAGAAGAAAATGAAATGGTGGGTTCTTCTGAAATCCCTCTGGGCTGGTACAGATGCTGTAGGCTGACTAGTAGCTCCAGCACACAGGGTAAGGGTTCATTATTCATAATATATGTAAACAGCCCTCTCAGTGCTCTGAGGCAGTACCATGGTGCAATTGCCAGGTCACTTGCATTGTCCTTTTTCTGCTTCATCTGTAATTTAAATTATTATACAGAAGGATTTGTCATTCCTGTTGATCTTTTTTTTTTTTTTCCTCAGTATTTACATCAATCTCAGGAAGTTGTGTGAGTTGTTTGTTTGGGGTTTTTAACATAGTTTACTTAAAGAAACAACTTCTAAACACACACCCATTCAGTACTATAAAACAAACCTAAGCACAGAACCCATTGCTGAAACTTAAGCTGTCTAAAAATGCCTAAAGCACACAGAACATTCATATCAGAAACCTTCTTACTGATGAATCAGTCCCACAGTTTCATAATTTCCCTCTTTATCCTTCCCTCTGATGCAGAGTATAAAACTGTCTTTTGTTTTATTGTCACTGCATACTGCAAATGGGACTTCGGTTTCCCACAAAGTATTTCTTACAGTTTTCATGACATGTTAGAAATGATAGAAGCTTCTAAGGCTTGGGTGGATAGTAGGGATGATTAATAAGTTACAGTTACTGGCACAGCACTGAGGTGGAGTAGGTGTGAGTAATTGTATTCTGTGGGAACTTAATCAGAATCCTCTGGTTCATGGGCATGAAAGTATTTTGTATTCTCAGCATTTCTAAGAAAGGACAGAAAATAAACAGCATCCTAGTGCAAGTCTTCCTCTATACAGAGGAGCATACAGGGAACACACAGAAAATTAAAAATTTGGAATCAGTTATTTTATTGCTACTTTTTTTTTCTGAGAGTGAAATCTGCAGTGCACATTAGAATAACACAGACTCAAATGCAATGGGAAAGGATTCTCACTTGAAGACTTAGAACTTGTTGCACAGGCCTAAAAGCACAACAGGGAACAGACAGTGCACTTGAGCATGCAGCTTCATTGCTTCAAAGGAGCAGAAGTCTTCATAATAGCCCCAGTATATTATTGGGGGGCAGAGAAGGAGGTTCTGAACATACACACAATGAAACAAAACTAGTGGGTGTAAAGTAACAGCCAGTTTCATTTATTTGCACAGTTTATCTATAGTAGCAACCTAAGCCCCAGTAGGCAAACAGCCTGGGCAGCTGCTGTGGAGGAATGGATTCCACAGCTCTGCAAGGATTTCATGTGAAGCAATACCCTCTTACTAGGATTAGCTGCCTTACTCAAGACCAGGCTCAAGGGATTTACAAAACCACTATATACCCTTATTCAGAGTCATACACTAACATCTTCATTGTTGTGTGGACAATATGCTGCACCAGAGAGACTTGTTTCTTTCCTCATATGTAGAAGAGAAAATACCCATTCCTTAGAAAAATCATAAGGGACTGGTAATATGGGGATTAAGCAGGCAGGATTACACAGTGTCATCTGAAAAAAAATAGTGTATGACAACTGACAAAAACTGTTAAGTCCCTTTCAGGAAAAGCGAGTATTAAGCCAACAGTTCAGCAGGCCCACAGTTCCTGGTTCTTGGGCAACAAATATTCATTGTCAAATGCTGCTATTTAATATAAAATATGCTCTCTTCAGTCTTCACGTGCCTTTCCACAATACAATCAAGGCCAGATGACAAAAAGCATTTGTCACATTTCAACAGGGAACTTGGTTTGGCATTGGGCATGATGGTTTGTACAATGGTTCAGGAATACTGAAGGAAAGAGTGGGTACTGGAATCCTCTTAAACTCATAAAACCACAGTTGCTACCTTTATTTTAATATGAAACAAGAAAATTTAAGTATCAATATGTTGTAATGTATCAAGAAAAATTAGTATGGACATGAAACACTGCTTAAACTGCTTCAGTGGCTTCAACATCAAATTTCAAAGAATTAAAATATAAAAGTTCAGTTTCCTAATCTATTTCCTAAATAAAAATACTTCTTTCAAAGAAGACAACATTAACATTTGGATAGCAAGCTCATCAAAACACATGATCCCACATTACACACAAATATGGATATATACCTACATGCACATATACATAGCTCCTTTGTTACATATTCATTTTCATTCCTCACCTTTCTGTTCCCTCAGTTTTCAAGTTTGGGCCAAAGGCATATGCTTGATCTGTTCTTGTTTAGCATTTCTGACTTCTTTAATCTTCTTCTAGTTCATATTTTTCTATCCTTTCTCTCAGATATCTGAAAATGAAGAACATTAGCTGAGTACATAGCAGCAGAATAATCAAATGTCTGTACAGATCACAGGAAAAAGGTCACTTTTTCCGCACAAAAGTATTACAAGTATAAATTGAATAGATCTTTCACACATCATTCACAATATAGTTATTCCTGTCTTTCCCTCCTCCCCAGTGAAAGGAAGCAACACTTCAAAAACTGCCTTAGTACAGTAAAATTTACATCTGGTATAAGGCCATTTATACTTAATTTCACATTTGATTTGAGTCTGATTATCATTTTCCTACCAGCAGTAGATATGACCTTTTTTAGGAATGATTGCACAGGAGAAACATGTTCCTTTCACATAAGTGATTCTTTATGATACCTTTCCTCCACCCCTCCCAGCAGTGCCTTCATGTTTAAGCAGCTTCACTCTGAAGTTACTATAGCTATGCAACTCTTGCTCATTGTGTAGCCCTTAATAATTGCTTTCCATCTGGATAATGCTGTTGCCATATACTCTGCATAAGGCTACACCTTAAACACCTAATAAAATGAAGTTCATGTCAGAACAGCAAGGATTACTTCTGAACTGCTTGACTCAACACAATTTTTTCATATGTTGGTTATGAATAACAAGTACTGCACAGAAGGGGTGTATAAGCTTCTTTTTTGATTCTTCTCTTTTTCTCCTCATTTCTCCATCCTCTGTGTACACACACCAACATATGGCCACAGTTGTAATCCATGTGTCTCAGTTTGATATCCTTGATATAACAAAAGGCATGACTGGAAGAAGACTCTCTGAGGATTCAGGACTCAGGATATCTGCTCCCACTTGACAATAGCATGAAATTATATTTTAGCCATAATTCAGAAGACATCTTGTCAACAAGGCTTTTGGAAAGGGATGAGGATATACTACCATTGATAAAAAGCACACAAACCAATTCTGTGTATATCAAGCCAAATCCAGCATCAGGCTTTAGTCCAAAGCTGGATCATGATTGAATTTTTCCTAAGGCATGCAAAAACTCCAAATGTAAACTGCATTCCTGCATAAGGTTTGGTATTAGTGTTTGCACAGTTTGTCAAGAAGTTTCACTGGGACATGACAGGTGTCAGATGTGAAGGCAGCATTCAGCACAGAGCTAACTTCTTGCATTCAAGTTTAACAATGCTTCCTGTTAACCAGACTCAATAGAAATCAGCAAATAAAAGACTCCCCTGGGCCTTGTGAAAATTAATTTACTAGTCATGAGTAGAACATGGGCGCATTCCTGTTGAAAGTCAAAGCAAAAGCTTTATGTCATTACTTTTTATATCAATTAGCCACATTATACTTCCTGGACTCTGGATCCCTTCTGAATAAAGAATGTATTGCTAGTGTCATATTCAATGTAACCTATTCCTTTGCAATATTTAGATGCATTTTATTCCACCACAGAAAGATATGCAGTGATTGCAGGTTTTAAGGACTTTGGTTATATTTGTCTTTATTTTCATTTTGAACTTTCCAAAACTGTGCTTTGCCCACTGCTAAAGGGTAGAATTATATTAATGAAACATATCTGTTGTTTAGTCTCTGGAAGGCCACACACTGTTTAGGTATGCAGTCAAATATGCTTAGAGAGCTGCATTTCTGTTCAGTTGTGTAATTATGAACCTCTTAAATGAGACGCTGTAAAGGATGGGAGTGAGACAGTGTCCCAGAGCAGTGCTCTGCAGTTTCTGCTTTACCTTCAAATCAAATGGTGTTAGCAACTGAATCAACATCTCATACTGAGATAGTAGAAGTAATATTAAGCTGTACCTCGATTACTTTTATTGTTGGACTGCTGAGTTGATTTAACACCATTCAGACTTGCAAAGTCAATCTTATATGACAAACTTAATGTAAAGAGATTGTAGCTTCTCTTTGTTTTACAAAGTATTGTAAAAGAAATCTCTGCTCAGAATCGCACATCTTTTGCCTTCTCTTTCTCTTTGCTTCCTTCAACTTAATTTTCATGATTCTTCTTTTACCCTGGAGAGGAATATCAAAACAAATAGATGTATCTGAAACTTACAGTAGGCATGTTCAAACAGTAATAAGTCTCACACTTCTTTTGCACTACAAAGAAAACCACAGGATAATAAACTCACCAATTTATGTATAAAATATGTATGTTTATATACATATAATAATGACATGTGGGAATCTGATACAAGACTTTCATAACATAGAGGTGATAGACAAAAGCCTCAAAGAGCCCTCGGACATTCTTCCCCTTTCCCTTTCCCTTTTCAAACAGGCATTTTTCTTTATAGACCAGAACTAGGTCACCATTGAAAATGTTCTTGTGCAGTGACTGCACAATAAACCCAAGGCAAGAGGGTAAACATACTCCTGCACCACTGTACAGTTTGTCTCAATGAGGCAGGTGGAACAAAAGAATATTTTAATTTGTTAGAAAAGAAAAAAAATCTGAGTATTTTACATGAACTACAGCTCAAAAAAAACAAAAAAGAGGAAAATTAATGGTCAGTAAGAATGTTCAGCAATTTCTTTCAAGCAATAGCAATATCTGTTGATAAAAACACTATGTTCTGTATGTTAAATGGTAAATGTCCCTTTATTTCTTCGGTGTAGTGTAGTACATCATTACTTTTTTACTCTCACATCTGAGTAATAGAGCATCCTCAGCTTGAATATTTTCTTTTATGTAGATCATGTAGTCAAGCTATGCTCCAGAAGAAAACACAATTCAGCTCTCATGTAGCCTAAAGCTAACAATTTTTCATATTTTGTGTGACTTGTCACTAGCTAAGACAGAAGTATGTTTGAATAGCTGGTCTGGCAAAGACCTATTCGGCCTCAGAGAGAGGAAAACATTTCCAGACTTGGTATAGATCAACAGCTCATGTGTGACAACGTATTCAGTAGCCTCAGCAGCATTGCCAAGAGAATGCTGGACTGGCATTTATGAAACTGCTAAATTCATAGTGAACTGATGCACTGCTCTGCCGCTTTTTCTCTTAGTGGGCATGACAAGATGACTGCAAATCTGGCTGAGAGTGTTTAAGTCTCTGTGTTTTGCTCCGTTGCATCTTAGAAGCAAGGGAAATTTCTAAAACTTTAATATTGACATAATACCTAAGTCTAAAACTTCAATGGTTTGAATAGTTAACAGACAACAGGCTCACATGATCACCTGCAAATCTGATTGAATTCTGAATTTACACTCTGTTCAGAAAAATCTGAAATTTGACATACGCCTTTTCAGGTAAAGATTCTGAACACAGTTTTTGAAGTTAAATACTCCAGCTAAGCTGGTTTAACAGCTTGGTGTTGCCAGAAGTGGGAAACCCTTGTTGTCTCCCCACACTTCTTTTTCCCAGCTTTATGTATCCCGTCTCTTTGTACCTGCTGTAGTTGTGGTCAGACACTCACTGAGCCAAAACCACTTGTTAATTCACAGTAAAACCCCTTTTGATCACCAACCAGGCTGACTTAGTTCTGTTACTGCCAGAGCCTACATAAACAGAGGGGCCACAGTCAGAAGGGAGAAAAGAGAGCCTCCTTTTAGCAAACCATAAGACTGGCCAAAGCCATTATGTAGCCTCCCTTTCATAATGTACACAGTGTAAAAAGCTGATTTGTGTTTTTAACCAGGGGTTTGGAACTTGTTTTGGCAAGTTAATTTTTCAGGGAATTTTTAGAAGCCTCGATTCCCTAACTATTCTTTAGCTAAACTAAGTCATAGTTTCACAACTTTTTTTCTTTTTGACAGCAGGTTGGGGCCAGAAATACCATTTTAACTATAAGCTACTTTCACAAGTACCGCTGTGAAGAGGAATCACCATGCTATCAAGTCTTTACAGGGTCCTTCAAACAAATACTTTAGTGTGACAATAATGTAATCACAGACTTCCTTAAGGAAATTCCTTGGCTGAAGAGCTGTGGCATACATTTTAGTCAGTTTAGTACTGACCATACTGATCTAAAGACAGAACCGTAATGTACTCCAGATGCAAGTTTAGAAGGAGACAAAACAATAAAGTGACAGCAAGCAGCCAAAGTCCTCATCAGTTAATAATACCCAAAGCATTTAGCCTCTGGGTCGCTGGAATTTTACATTTGCAAATCTTTCGAGAGTGACAGCTAGAGCACAGAAGGAAAAAGCTGAGGAAAAAAGAATAGAACAACACTGTCCTTAAACTTTTTATACCATCAATGGCTAAGACAGATACTGATCTTGAACAAGGATGTTAGTGTTTGCTTCCCACAATATCACAAAAACCTGATGGTGTGAAGGGCAGATATTTTCAATGTATCAGATGCACAACCATATGTATTTTGAGTGTTCCTTTCAGACAGTTCTGCACATGCACCTATAGCAGTATGCACAGACACAGCCTTTTAAACAGTTCCTTTTTTTAAGTATAACTTTAGTCAGCTACAAAATGGCTCATGTTTACAAGAAAAAAATTTCAATTTTATGGCTGGAATAGTCATTTTAAGCCCTGTCCCCATTTGTTAACCAGCTTTGCTCATGAATAAATACCATGCAGCATTTTTCCTCCCCATCCCCACCTTTTAAGAACAAAAGCAGCCTCAGGCCATTGAGTCTTCCCCATCACCTCTTAATCTCTGAGAAAGAGCTTCTTTCTCAATTGCTGTTGCTTAACTAATGAAACATTTAACACCCCAGATGAATCAGCACTGAGCTACAAGTTACCTTCTGACTACTGATCCTTCAGCTCCACAATAGTAAATTTACTGATGAACGTTCCCATACTCCATTCTAGACCCCACATTTACCTATGATACTTTCTCACCTCTTGCTCTTTTGATTTATCGCTAGAATTCCAGTACATGCAATTTGCTTCTGTGAAGTGGTGCTTTCTAATAATCAGAACTCAAATCATCGGTGTAGTTTCTGTTCTCATCTGGGCAAATCCTAAATGATGTTTGAAGTTTAGGGGTTCAGGGTTTAGTACAATACTTACAGAAATTTTCTTATGGCCTTACCAAAGATCACAAGGAAGCATTGTGTTGGTCAACCCATTGAAAAGACAGCAGTTCCAGACAGCAGGAAGTTTCTATTTCTCATTGGAACTAAACAAGAAACTCAAGTGGATGATGGAAATAAGAGAACAGGTTTGTTACAAAATCTTTCCTCAACAGTATGAATATGCATTTATTGGTACATACATATTTAAAATGTAAATTATGGATGTATATATATATACGTACACCTTTTTTTCTCCAGCACTTATTCATTAGGGTGGACAAGGATGAAATCCCTTGATATTTTTGCTGGAGTTCTAACTTTTTCGTGTGTGCAAATGTTTCTCCACCCCTCAGTTTCATCAAACAAAATGGCCTCTGTGTAATAGAAATAGCATCAGTTAGCAAGATAATGTCTTCAAGTCCTAGCAATTTCAACCAGCAAATAAAATCACCCAGAAATCAGAAAATGATTTTTTTTTTTTTTAATGTCTATTCTTGTGTCTCCCCACTACCCCATCCAGGAAGACCATGCTGTCTTTTAGGCAAGTGCTCTGTGAGTGTTTTCCTTCAGTCGTACACGTGATCTCATCCATCCCCCTCAAGGGGCAAAGGTGGGGCTGTGCTTATTGAGCAGCCTCTAGTGGCTGGTTCCCCAAGGAGCCACCCAAGGCTGTAATTGTGTGTGCTGCAGAGGCTCACACCTTGCACTCAGAGAAATGCTCTGAAATTGTCACCTCGCCTAGAACACTGAGAAAACTGTTGGGCCTTTCTTTAGCCATCTCCAGTTTAACAGAGAGATTCTTCTAGCAATGAAAAATCTTTCTTAGAAATCAATAATTGGAATAAAACTTCCTATTATTGAGAGATTCCTGTTTAGGCTGATAAAATCTTCATTCCTAAAAGAGGTGGTCCTTGGGCAGCAGCAGGGTGAGCCTGCCTCCAGCTCCAGGGTTTGGTTCCCTGAGAGGTTGTGATGGATGGGGGAGGACGCCAGGGGACGGGAGGCATGGAGCTATCACGGTGCTGGCAGAGTTCATCCTGCTCATCCTAAACTGCTGTGAAACTGCCCCAGACTCAGCAGAGCCCAGGCTTCCTGAGAGCCCTGGACGTGGCCCCGGGAAAATAATCATCTGGGGAAGATGGAATTAGTGTCTTACAAAAAACAGAGTAAAAAAATCTGTACAGCACCGTTAACATAATATAAAAATGTCCAGCATATGAAAGACTGAATGTATATTAATCATGAAAAAATTAATTATAAAATTGATTACAAAGTATTTTAAATAGTTTCCATTCTTTATAATTATAAAATTAATTATAAAGGATTTCTAGTTGTTGCCACTGTTTACGTTTAAATACAAAAACTCAATGCTCTAATATTCTGTTAGCTTGAAAACTTAATGCAACTTCACAGAAATTTTGGGCTCTGAAATTCACAAACCTATATCTAACTATTTTGTGATGATAGACTGCTAGTAATGAAATTTTTCCAACTTTTAGTACAAGTTTTTTCCACTAAATATCAAGAAAAGAAGATTCAGCAGTATATGTGTTAGTTCACATGTAAAACTAGTGATCATCAAAGCAAAGAACAAAAGCTGTATTTGAAGTATCTATTTAATAATTCCTCTGACAACCTGAAACTTTAAACTCCAAAAAGCTCCAACCATTTTTTTCAGCCTGGTTAGGATTCTGAGAAAAGATTTTTCAGCTGATTCTCTGCATTTGCATCCTAAAACCACTGTTGAAGCTCTTCCCACCAGTAATTAATTACTCAGTGCAACGGGCATGTTTTCAGTACAACTGAGATCCACCAGCCCTGCCCCGAGGGAAGCACAGCTGCCCCACCTGTCAGCATGCAAATATGTTCGGTATGCCCAGTCACATTCACGGCAAAGCCTGGAGCCCACTAACAGAAAGATTAAGGTTTCCTATTACTTTGAGGCACATTTCCAGCAGATCTAAACAATGGACTAAAGGGATACTCTGAAACTGGGAAGCCAAATTTGCAAGATTTTACATTTCTACTAAAGATACTTTGAAGCCCTTAAAGAAAAAAACTCATTTTTTGAGTTTCTGATAATAATAGTGGATTTTACTTCCACGTCCTTTAACCTTCATCTCTGCTGATGCCGAAAATCAAAGGGCCAGTTCAGACAGCTGTTTTTTTAATCAAGAAGAGGGAAGCGTGAGTGATATTTATAAAAAAAATTTAGTGACATGCTGGATCGTAATTAACTTCATAGTTTAAAACAGACTAATTCCAGTTAGAGAAACTTTCTCACCAGCAATGATTTGTTCTTACAGGTCTTGCCCTTCAGACTGGTGGACTGTTCTCTGTGATGATAATGAAGCGCTTACTTATGAATAGAATAGGTATCATTTTGGAGACCAGTGAAAAGAAATAACCTGTAGACTATACCTGGAAATGTGTACTGTCTATTTGCAAATAAATAAAGAAAAATACCAAGAAGATACCTGTAAGAAAGTCAGGCAAGTAGTGCCCCAGTTCTGCCTCTTTTCTGTAGTTACCTGATTGATCATCTCAATGTCAATTTATCAGTTACATTCATGACTCAACATTCCTGAAATATATGCTGCTCTCTAGTGGCTTCCACAGAAACAATAAAGCACATTTCTACACTCAAAAACTGTAAAAAAGCAAAAATCTACATTTGAAACACTTGAAGGAAGGAAATGTATTGCTATTCTGTGTTTTCTGTAGCAAAGACTGTTTAAGGAGTTCCCTCTCCCCATTTTGGGCTTTGATACAATGGTTCACACAACTGCTTGTGGGGCTGGCTGCATAATGATACACTCCAAGTAACTGATCAGTGTTAAAAATCACCCTGTTTCTTAAGATACTAAAGGTTAATTTAACCCAAAGAAAAAGGGTTATTTTGATAACAGATCATTTCCCTGATCTGCTGAACAGATGCACTATCACCAAGGACCAAGCAAGAGGAAAGAGGTATAAAGCGAGCAAACTTTGTAAACTGTCTTTATCACTGACAGAAAAAACTGCACCCAAGATACGAATTCCTAATTTCTGTGGAGTGGCTGTGCACAATCAGCTCTTGCTTTGGCAGTGACCATAATACTACCAAAACTAATCAGAATGGTACAAAATAATCTATAAACATACATTTTAAATTTAATCTTTCAGAATTGCTGTTAAAATCAGTCAGAGGTGCTGTTAATATCTTTCATTTTTACCCCTATCTCATCCTTACCTTTACAGGCCTCAATGAGGTTGGTCCTCCACAGACATTTTCACCTGCCATCCAGTATTCCTAGCTAGATGCCAGTTTTTGCTGCCTGTTTATTTATGTCCTGTGGCCTTTCATACTATCCCTTACATCTAGAAAAATCTGCTCAAATTAATTAGTATTCAACTTACCAACCTCAAGACATGTTTATACTCTGATGTTTACAGTAAACTGCCAGTTACGGTGGAGAGGAAGGTTGTATGCAGGGAATTTTGATACTATAAACACTGTTTACTTCCAGCTTCAGGAAGTCTATTAAGTAAGCAAATAACTGGACTTGTTTCTCTGTATTGTTTATTATTTCTTCCACTAAATTAGCTGCTGCAGCTATTGCAATATGGCTGAAATAAATCTCAGTGCATTATTTGAAGATAATGGGACAGAAAGCTCACTATTGTTGTGTCTCTTCTGTTTGATACTGTGGTTGTATTAAGTAATTTCTGTGTGCCAGGAGCAAAGCTGCCTAATCAACATTTATACTCAGGTAGCACTGTGCTAAATTCACCTTTTAAAATTTTTTTAGACCCAAACTGATTTTAACTGTATTTAGAAGCAAAGATGTTTTTGTCCTTAAAGCTGTTGGTAGGATATAATAAAATTTACACTTATCTGCGTTACTTTGGCAAAGGACTTGAAAGACTAAAGCTTGCTCTTTTACTCAAATCCTTATTCCATTTCCCAAGGGATAAACTCAGTCATCTGTAAAACAGGAAAGGAAATGTAGTAAACCAAACTCCATCAGATCAAATAAGCTTCACCACAATAAACTGATCTGATTCTATATTATATTATGCAAGAAAGAAAATCCTGAATCCCTGAAGTTTATAAGCAGAAACTCAGTTTACCCCTAATTTCTAATGTGTTTTTTTGTGCACAGACATATGTGCACACACACACATACACACACGAAAAGGGCTGTTCCTAGCAGCAGTGAATCTTTGACATTTCTGGTCTACTCAGCAAGATTTAAGAGACAATTTACAAATAACAAACTTCATTATTGCTGTAGTAGCTCGCACAGTGTTAAAGGATGATTCACAGACAGTCACAAAGTAAATTAAATATTTGTTTAGAAAGACTATTCAATTAATGCATGATGTCATGCATTTATGAAGATGAGTTGAGAAAATAGACATACAAAATACTGAACAGAATAATCAGATCTCTCATGGCATAACCTCTGCTGTCAACTGCCACATGAGGCTGTTTTCATTTACAAATTCATGCTATGACAGAAGGAAAATTAATGAGATAGTTTTGCAAGACACAGGGTTAGCAGAACTTGTGTACCTCAAACCCATCTTTCTTCCAATATTTGATATTAGGAGTTTCCTTCCTTATGCACCAATATGACAAAAGTGCTGTAAAACCTCCCAAAGAAGGGACTTGAATAACTGAAAGATGTGGCTAAGGAAACAAGCGAAAAGGGAAACAAGAGGGTGAATGTAGGAGAAAAAAAGTTTCAAATTCAATATGAATGTTGATGTAATGTGAATGTTACAACTGTCAGGAGACAAAGAGAAAAAGAACAAGTACACCAAAAACATCTGAGAAAGTCAGTCTAATGTGGAAGGAACTGCCATGAAATTGGAAAGTCTTGATTCTTTTTCCATATTACCTCCTGTGTTTCCAAAATATTGTATAGAGGTTACTTAATCTGCTACATTTTCTGTCTGTAAAATCAGAGAGAATGCTTATCTGATAGGCAGCTCGGATATAGAAAAATCTGAAAGTAATTTTCAGATCTATCAAGTTTCATGCACTAAAATGAGATCTCCACAACTGCTTCCAAACACACATTCTCATACAGCCAGCCCTCCATACCTCTGCTGGGCACTGCCACAGCTTCCCTTTTCTTCCCATCTCTCAGTCACAGCCCCAGGCTCCCTCCAGCCTCTGGTCCCAGCACTTTTCCCACACATCTGTTCCAAGGCACCTTGGACCTGTGGGCAGAAGGGCACTGCTTGTTCAAGGGGATCTCCTGTTTGTACAGCTAGAGATCTAAGATGCTACAGAACTGGAGAGAGTAAAATGCCTTGGGTGATAGAAGCATCTTCTGAAACAAATATTTGGCTATATCTATAACACCAGGAAAAGTCAAATCTGACTCAGCCTATTTGACAGGGGTTAAACAAATGAGTGAACAAGTTTGATGTGATAAAAAGTGTTGTCTCTTACTTTTCCTGAGGCTTTTTTCTTATTTGCTACTGAAGTCTTGCTCCTTTGCAACTACCTGTGGTTGGTTTTGTTTTATTTTGTTTTCTGGAAAAAAACCCCTGTAACAGAAAAATATATGTAATTGGAAAAATACCCCAAATAAAATGTTATACAGAAGGCAAGCAATTGTAAAGAGAACTATGTCCAATACCAAACAGCATTCACAGAAGAAAATTCAAGCAGATGTAGTCAAAGCAACCAGAGAAGAATGCAAACATGATTCTGTAGCTAAAAGAAGACTAATAGTGACAACAAAAGATATATTGTTAATACAAATGATGGAACGGGAAGAATTATAAACAAAGTCATTCGCTGAATAAAAACATCAAATTAAGAATTCAGTGAATAAGTTAAATAAAAAAAATACTTTTTTTAAAAAAAGCCTCACACTTGGAAATGTAAATAAAAGGACTATTGAGAGATGCCAAACAGAAAAGATTAGCAATAGAAAAAAGTAATTGAAAACCATAGAATATTTTCCAGCTTGCTGTGAAGGTTGGATTAGAGTAAGGAAGATGAAGGCAGGGTATTTATACCACATTAAGTTAAACCTTTAGTATAAGAAAATAAATTGGGGAAGTATTCTCCCTATTTTTAAGTATAGTTGATAGAAAAATAAGACCTTCCCCCCCCCTAAACTGCTTCAGGAACTGCTTACGTCTCTCTACAGGTTGAATAGGGAGTCCAGAGAGTGACAAGTGGCTGAGCCAAATCAACCGTTCTTGGAGGGAGGGCATCAAGTCCTGTCCCCACCTTTCCAGCTTCTCTTTCTTTTCTCCCACATCTTCCTTGTGTTGCCTCTGAAGTTTATCTGATTCATTGCAAGGTCAGGCAACAAAACTCACTAACTTGGCAAAAAATGTACACTTTGGAAGGTGGGTAAAGGTAACTTCTGTTGTTTTATCAGGTTGAATAACCTGCAGCCAGATGAGCTCCAGAGGTGGCTCAAGGTCAGCAGGGGGATCACCTAGCCAAGAGCAGAGTGGGTTACAGGAGAAGGGCAGAGGGAAAGGTAAGTGCTTTCTGGCAACAATTAGCTGAAGCCAGCCAGTTTTGTAACTTAAGCACCTTAGTTAAAAACATTCAGTTAGACAGAGGGAACTGTGCCTCTGCCATCCCTTATGGACACAGAGGAGGTGCTGCTACTGTTCTTGGACTTATATCTTCAAATCCTCATGTTTCTTATTAATGTTAACCAAATAATATCCCTGGAAGTTTATTAAAGCTGAATTAGGGATGTCCTCCACTGCCAACCTCTCCTGTGCTATTCTGCTCCACAGCACTGCTTTTTTATTATAGTACTGACAGTACAACACAAGAGGAAGCTAGTAGTAGATTTACAAACCTCTAGGTTTTATTGCAAATCTCATTATGCTTGTTGGGTTTTATTTTTAGCCTCAAAACCTTATATTATGCAAATAGATAACAATCTGAATTTTCAAATTTTCATTTCTCAGTGGTGTTCTCTGTTTTCTTGTTTATAGAGCCTTTGGTTATATATTTAAAAATCCCTGATTCTTTAATATACCTTATATATACTTCAATATACCTTAGTCAGGAAGGCTTTGTATGGTATTCAGATTAAATTTAGGCAGTCTACAACTTTTTTTTTTTTTTCCAATTCTAATAGCCAGGCTGTCTGGCCCTATTAAATGAAGTTTAAGCAAAAGGTGAAACAATGATTCTACTGCCTGTAGGAACAGATGTACAAACAGGCTGCTACAGGGCATGCCAGAGTGCGAACACACAGCACACCACATGCTCTGCAGAAGCTCTGCAACCTGTTCCTTCTCTAGTTTGTTATATCCTCTTACTGCACAAAACTGTATTTTATGATACCTTGTTAGCCAACAGGAATTTGTGTACAATATATATTTATTCAGGCTATGTGACTGTGCTAGGCCCTTTGTTCTTAATGTACAACATTATCTTCTTCTTTACAACTGGAATTATAACTTTCCATTATTTTTAGAGGGCAGATGGATCTCAAATTTCAACCACACGTGCACATGTATAAAGAAACTTGTAGACATCAGAAATCTCATAATGAGGAGTAAATACACTTTGGGAAACCTTTCCAAAAGGAAAAAAGCCCTTGAAAGTCACTCTCTTTTGGGGAAAATTTTTATACTTTGGTTCCTTTGAAAATCTAAGCATTCAGCACATACTTAATTTTTAGCTTGGGAGTGGTCATATTAGAGTTGATGAGGGGAAATAATTTATGCAACAGTTTGGCAGAAACAAACTTCTTGCACCATTAGGGATTTTCCTTGCTTTTATAAAAAAATTATTTGATTGACTGTAGTAAAACAATCTATTTATACTGTGAAAATATGACACCCTCTCTACACCAATCTCTCCCTATGTCCCCCAGGGTCTGTCCCTGCACCCATGTGTGTGTACACAAACACAAACCATTCCTATGTGCTGACTGGCTCCTCATGTTGCTTGAGCAAAAGGTAAAATGATGATTTGTTAGCTCATCAAACCTTTTCTGAATAGGTATAATTTTTCTCTGTATTCTGGTGGATATGTAAATATTGTAGGTTCTAAAAGAAACAAATGCCAGAGCCACTGAGGTAGGTGTGTTACATGAAACTAAAGCTCAGAGAAAAGTCATGTGCCATCTGCAGCACCCTTGCAGCCCAATGTGCTGAGTAGCAGGGTGAGAAATGGAGAATTGTGTTTTCTACATCCAAAGATGCATAAAGGGCAGTCTGAGCTGGAGCCAACGTTTAAATTCCTGAGAGAAAGCTGTCCATGATGAATACCTGACATGAAGGCAGTGCCTGAGAAAATACGTTGTAGACTGAGAAGGAAATCCATTTTGAATGAAAGTATAGATGTAGCCTTCACTTTGTTTGGCTTCTCTGAAGTATAATTTGCCCAAAATTAAACTAATCTACAAAAATTATGTCCTGTGCTATCATGTTCATTGGAAAACATCTACATGGAAAATACATAATCATTTTGAAACACAATTTTACAGGTCTGATATTAAAATTACAAATCATGACACAGCATACCATAAAATACAGCAGGGGTCTTAAATATATTAATAATTCTTAAGAGACATTTTCATGCTTCTAAGACATCTTACAGTAGCCTCTGGGCTCATTTCTAAAAAAGGGATTACTTGTGATGAAGACAAACCAACTATTTGTATATGATTTTCCTGGTAAGTGTAATAACCTGGGATTCCAGTCTGACCTCTGAGACATGCTAAAATCAAACACCTAAAATGCGGGGGTTCACTCTGGAAGATGTTATTTTTTAGTTTCTTCAAAATGATTTTTCCAGATTAAAATTGCTGTTTCAGATTAATTTGTGACTGCATATTCCTTGCTTTTACTTAAAACATCTTCAGAGACTTTTGCAACCAAAATATAAAACTTTTACTTTAATTAAGTTGTGGGGAACTTTTTCTATAAAGGCAATTATTTATAGCTTTAATATATACTTCAGTCATTCCAGCTGTACCCTGAGGAAATGTTAATTTTTAAACTTAATGCATTATTTTAATGTGACTTTCTCTGTTACTATTTCTGCCTTATTCTCAATTCAGGAAGCTACTTAGAAAACCCTGCTAAGGTAAATTCCATACTAGTTTAAGAGAGGTCAATATACGTACCTACCCAAGTAGTGTTAATTCCCATAGAACTTCTATCAATTGGATGAAAAAGTTCTAAGTGTATTGATAATAAAATTTTTGAGGTGTTCTGCACACCTGTGCTGTGTGGTGATAACTTTGTTAGAATTATATTTAACTGTGGTAATATAGCGTTACTCTTACAATGACATTTACTGTGTAGCCTTCCTGACTGTAAACCAGGAACAATAACAGCACAGCCTGGAGTCACACACAGCCTCTCTGAGCTGTGCAGAGGGGCTTTGCTGGCAGTCAGGTCATCAAGGCATCCCCTCTAACCCACTCTTGCCTTTGGCTTTCCTCTTGAGGCATAACAAAATCTCTACAGGAATGTTTTATATTAAATACAAAACTGCACTCCTTGCCCAGTATCAACAACCATCTGAAGCTGCTATGAATGGGAATTCTACTCAGGAAAAAACACAAACAAAACTCTTTTTTTAGAGATGCAAGTAGTGTTGGGGCATTAAAAGGAGCGCCCTCCTGACCCTGCTCATGTCCTGAGGCAGTAGATTGGGTTACTTGGTATCATTGCCTCTGCTTGGATAGCTGATCATAAAGTTACAGAGTTTTAAAATTCCTACAACACCACTTATGTCCAAGAACACCTGCAGCTCTGGTTTCCATAGGCCAGTTTTAAATCCAGTAGACAAATATTTCTTGCCTTTTACTGCCTTTCTTACTAAGGCACCCCCTAATTTCTTGTGAGCTGAATGGATTCCTACCAATTCCATTAACCACTGCAAAGAAGCAATTCTTCATTTCCTGAATTTCTTTTTTGTACAGATTAAAATCCTTCTCCCTTAAATAATAATATTTTAAAAAATTAATGCTGTATTACTTATTTGCTATCATATAATCATTAACTACACACCTAGAGTTAAACAACAGATTTCAGAGATAATTAACTATTTCAAATTAGTTCATGATGTTATAGTAAAGGGTTTTTTTGTGGCATTTGATTGTTTAGTTATTACTGTTTATGTAATACTGCTCTTTGGAGAATTGAATACAGTATAATATCAATCAAAATATAGGAAGTTGCTAGCTTAAAAGGCTTATCTTTATCTTCTGATCAGACAAATGAAACTGGGTTTCCTGTGGGACTTTTTTGTTTGTTCACTTTACAGCAAAGTACTGATCTAAGGCACATTTCTACACCAGAATTACTGCCTTTACCAGTGATCAGAGATACATCATGTTTCTTAAACAGGAATGGTGGTGACTTTGTGGAAAGGGGAACAAGTAGAAAGAAAAGGAAGTGGTTTTGCCTCAAGCAGCCAAGGTGAAATGTATGTTTACACTTACCCTGAAAGTAGGAAACTTCACTTCCCAAGCTTAGCAATGCCACACTCTGTGTTTATTTTTGCCTACACACACAGGAAATGAGAAGGGATTTCCTCAGCACAC